CTCTCTCTCTCTCTCAGGTGTCAGGTACTAACCTGTGAAGATGGCACTGTGCTGCAGGTACCTCGACGGCGAGCTGGAGCTATGGCACTGCAGGTAAGTCTCCCTGGCCTCCGCCCAATCTCTATCTCTCACGAGTACTACTCTAGTTCCTAACAGCGCCCAGCGATGAAGACTACTGCTAACGCTACTACTACTACTACTCCAGCGCTCCTCCAGAGTGCTGCTGCTGAATCCTGAAGACTACCTCCTGCCTCCTGAACTGCAAGTGAAGTGCCTGGGAAGTCCCTATTAACTACCTGCAGCCTGCAGGGCGGGCCAGTCTTATGTAGTGCTGGCCCATCCAGGAGGCTGCTCTTGCCAATGCCAAAACGTGCCAAACCCTGGCGTTGAAGCTCAAACAAAGGTTGTCTTGAAAACAGGCCCGAAATGGCCTGTGCCCCTGGTCTGGTGCCTAAATTTCAGGGCAGGTCGATCTTATGAGGGCCTGAAAATGGCCCTCCGTTTGTCACCGTTTCAGGCTGAAAAGACTCAGGGCCTGGAGGGCCCTGTTGTAGGCTGAAACGACACAGGGCCTGTAGGCCCTTTGCCGCCCTTGTTTTCAGGCTTTCAGGCTGAAACGACACAGGGCCTGTAGGCTGTAGGCCCTTGTTTTCAGGCTTTCAGGCTGAAACGACCCGGGGCCTGAAACTGGCGCTCGTTTGCAGGCGCAGCATGTAACAGAGTTGAGGTAGAAAAGGAGGCTACAGCCAGTTAATTTCTCGCAGACGAAAGACCAATAGGACTGCTGTGACTGTGGAGAGAGGCAACGTGGCGAGCACATAGTCATCAGAACACTGTGTCCAGCTAGATCCTTCTCCGTTTTCTCAAGGTGCAAACAGATAGCACCCTCATCCGGAATCCCCTTGTATCTGAGCAGTGGCTCAAGCCGGATAAATTATATCCGATCCAGCTCCTTAAAAAAACACCAGTACTTCCTAAAGTTGTGCCTGTTAAGAAGCAACAATCTTAGGAAATGTATGGGCCACCACAGGAGTTCCCAAATTCATCTGACTAGAAGTGTTTCTAGTACTTTCTACTCTATTTGTTTCTACGGCAGATAGCTGGGCCAAGTACTTGTGGTTTAAGGACCAGGACCGTTGGCTGGCCTTCCGCCCCGACCTCCCTATGTCCAACCTCGCACTGGATCTAGAAACGAGGAGGAGGTGGTCCACCCAGCTCAGCAGAGGAAAGACCTGCTTACAACATCTGCACAACGGTCTGCCAAAGCAGCCTATCGGATGTTGAGACCAAGGATCAACCCTTTTTTTCTTTTTTTTTTTTTCTTTTTTTTTTTCCACGTCTAACGAGCATCCCCTCCTACTAGGTCTGCTTGGTCACTCCATCTATTGGTGGGAAGCTGCACCTGCTGGAAACCGGGTCCAGCATCCCTTAATTACATATGAAGACCAAGGGTCAACCTGCAAGACACCGTGGAGGAATGACGGATGAGACACCTCAACATCAACCGAGAGGAGCTCCGTCCCATACGGTGATTTCAGATCATCAAGTCAAAACCAGCAAAAATAGCCGCGCTGCAGTGGCAAATAGAACACAGCTGCCTCCTGACTATGGACTGGCTGAGAGCCTGAGACAGAACATCCCGGGAGAAACAGGGACTGGCCCTCCCCGGGTGCAAGCTCTGCACCTCCGCCTTCCTGGCCAGAAAAACCCCTAACAATTGAGCACATTTTCTTGCAGTGCCCAGGGGCTATCTGGCTATAGAGATGGTGGGCGAGGATCTGGGGACAATTCGGCACCCCGGCCCCCTGGCCGTGGTCCTGGAAAGCCATGTTGTGCGAAACCTAGCACCCAGACAAGGCCACTGATTTCACCCTCAATCTGTTCAAGACAGAACGCCGAGCAGTCCTCCCGGCCACAGGGTGGAAACACTGTGCCTGTGAAAGTGAGAGGGTCAGTGGCTTCCTGAGATACCATCAAACAACAGGTGCAACTACAAATCACAGCCCAACGGGACCGTCTTTGGGAAAATCTGTCTTCCCATCACTCCCAAAGAGAAATCAAAATGCAAATCCAACAATTCAGCATAGTTTGGCCGGGGGGGGACCACGGAGGATGGTTGGGTAATGTGGTGTGGAATGGGGAAACAGAAGATGTATGGGAGGATCAGCGCAGAGCGCAAAGAGATTAGTAATACCACCTCCCCATTCATGATTGGGCCAGGATTGATCCATCCATCCTGCTACCCACGCTGTCTGGCTTTCCAGAACTCTTCCGGGTCTTCCCCCTCCCCACCCCCTGTCAATAGTGGAGCCGTTATGGCATGGATGGCGAGGAAGGAAGGGGGAAGGTTTCAGAGAAATAAGGGTAAAAGGTTGAGAGGGGAGAGACAAGACGGGGAAAGCGTAGGCTCAAATGGGGGAAAGTTTAACCTCCTGGTCACCTGCCAGGAGGTAAAAGGGTAGGGCTCAAGACAGTCTCAGAGTCCTCGACTGGGAAAGCATAGGCTCAAATGGGGGAAAGTTTAACCAGGATGAAGGGTTTAAACCACCAGTACCTCCACGTTGCGAGGCCATTAACGGGGTGGCTGAATCGGTGTGCCGCAAGGGTCCATATGCATTTGCATCAGAGCCTCCCCAGAGGGGGCCGAAGACCCCCTGGGGCACTGGTGATTTAACCAAGGGCTTAGGATTTAAATAGCAAGACCTGAGGCAACGTGCGACTCCTTATCAGTCTCAAGACTCTCAACCTGTACCAGAACATGAACAGCTCAAGGGTGGCAGTGTAGGTGAACAGTAGCAGGGCTGAAAAGGTATCAGGCACCCAGTAGCAGGGCTGAAAAGGCACCCGGGGTTCACTTCCCTCACCCCCTCAGTCAATCCCCCACCTTGTTGGGGTAATCAATGCTGGCGGGCTGGATGTCCAGCAATGGGATGCTGGGCCCATTTCCCAGCAGGCACAGCTCCTCACCAATGGAACGCAGCAATCAATGACCTAACTAGCGGAGGCTTCTCATACCCCCCCCCCCTAGGAAGCAGAGCCTGGCTTTGCAAAAAAAAAAAAAAAAAAAAAAAAAAAAAGAAGCAACAAAAAAAACAACAAAAACAACAAAAACACCAAAAGAAACAAAATAAAACAAAACAAAACAAAAACATCTCCAGTAAACCAGAATGATCTCGCTTATACTGGTTCATAGCCCTCTTTACGCCATCACAACTTCACCACAGACAAAAATTTAAAGTGTTTTCAACATTTCTCGTACACTAAAGAGAACGAGAACGGGCGTTAGATCGTTCTAACCTCCGGATCCTCTTCTACATGTCATCATCATCCTGCACAAGAAAAGAAAGAAAAGTCACTTCTCACCACAGTGAGAATGGACATTAGATAGTACTGAGGGTCTCGCCGCACGGCACACGAAACGAAAACGAAACGAGTGCATCTGCCCACGAAAGGTGGCAAAATACACTCGTTACTATTTATAGCAAACCGATGAACCTGGCCATTTTCTGCAGGAAGATGCACTCGTTTCGTTTTTCGTTTCGTGTCCAGTGCGGCGACGCCCTGAGTCTACTGACCTCCGGATCGTCTTCCATATCCTCATCCTGGCAGTGCTAAAATAAAGAAAAGTATCATCTCGCCACAAAGAAACATAGTGACTCCTCTCTCAAACTTGGAGGCAGTTTCTGGAGGCAGAAACTGTTGCTCTAATTATTATCTACTAATAGCAATTTCCTGAATTCATTACCATAACAATCCTTTCTAAGGCTTTCCTCAGCACCTTGCAGAAACACAGCCGCACCGAAAAGACTTCGTGGGCTTATTATGAAGTCTCCCAGCTGATGCAGACCACTGATATGTCTAATATGTCATCGAGAGATTGCTAGGTCAGTGAGTGAGTCCTTGCCCTCCTATCTGGCAGAATGGACCTCCACTTCCACCTTGGAGATGGTCAGCTTCCGTGCTCTTTGCCGAGCTGCTTTTAGACTTCCGGAAGAGTCATGAGGGGTATTTGGGGTACAATACGACCAGACGATGGTCAGGAAGGGTAATCTGCAGGCCAGTGTTACCCGCGACGAGATCCCCATTCTGTCGCGACACCACGATCTCGTGTCTAGTTGACCAGGCCGAGCCGGACTGCCCAGGCGCGGGTTTAGTCCAGGAGCTCACCGCAATGTCTGAAAGACACTCATAGCCTGTAGGGGGATCCGGCTGCCACACGGACCCGTAAAGAACCGCTCCTGAACCCTCGTCCATCCACACATGACTGTAGTCAACTGGTGACTTCAGAATAGGTATGTTGGCATCCACATTTCGAGCAACAATCGTGCCCACCAGGCCACTGATAGGATGTTAGTGGGGGACGGCAACATGAGAGAGAATCCTCCAGCCTTGGTCCACCTCCGCGCGACTAAGCGCAGGTGTGAAGAACGCAACATCCCTGCGGCCACCTGAACCCCGATCATTATATGTGGGAACGTACAATGTTGTGACACCAATCTCCAAGCCTCCATACCGCATGCCTTTGATGGACGAAGGCAAGCTGAGGACATGTACGGTTTGATTCGGCTTGGCATTGTAAACGTCCGTGGCAATGTAACCCTGCACCAGACTTTCCACACTGCCATTATACCCGGGGTTGTCAATCTGCCAGATGGAGCAATCATATGTTGAATGGGACCCACGGTCATCCCACACAAAATCTCCAATGGCTGATTCCTTGACGCAGTCTTCCCGAACGCAGACATGGGCACTGAACAGGCCCTGTCCGGGCACCGGTGCAAACCAGCCAGGCGCAAACATGTCACCAAGACATATGTATCCTTGGGCAGGTATCGGTCTCCACACGCTAGCGTGCTTTGTTTTTTTCTTCGGCCAATGCCTGTGTGATCCAGCATTCTTGGAGTACCAAATCCTCTTGTACTCCACAGGGGGCTTCAAGATCGGGTTGGATTGATTCTGAATCACATTTCTGGCAACAATTGTTACCCCCGTGTCAGTGATGCCTGCGTAGCTGGGCCGACTCAATTGACCGAGAACCTTCCATTTTCGGTCCTGCTCGAGCAAGGTTAAATCCGCCTGGAAAATGGCCAGGTAAAGCTTGGCCCCGGTGTTCTTGTCCCTCCAGACACGAGTGAACTTGGAAATCGCAGCAATCTCTAGATCTCCAAACCGAACTGGTTGCAGTTCCGCTTCCTCGTACTGAAGCATTCGTCTTCTGCGGATCAGCGCGCGTCTCTTCATCATGTTCGGGGGATTGCGGCGGCGGTTAGATTCCACATTGAAAAGATCCTGACCAGGACCATGAAGTAAGGCACGCGGATTACAGCCTGTTCCTGCTGCTTCATGGAATGTAGGAAATGCCGTGTCATTGCCATTCACATCCTTCAGCGATGTGATACTGTCGGCGAGACCAGTGCTGCAAAGCATCACACACATGAAGCTCAACAATACACACCATTCTACAAATACGGTCCACGACATAGCAGATGTAGCGCATACATTGAGGACCGGGACACACCCACCCCTTACACCGTGCAGCCTCATGGTGCAATTTATATGGGTCTTAGGTAACTGTCCCGCGGCTCCCCCCCTCCCTCTCTAACTTTGTCCTACTCCCTGTGTTCCTGTTAAAACCCAGTACTTGGCCCAGCTATCGGCGGAAAAAAATAAAGTAGGAACGTTTCTAGTTGGATGAATTTGGGTGCTCCTGTAGTGGCCCATACATTTCCTAAAATTGTGGCGCGTTAACCGGCACAACTTTAGATTAATAGAAAGTACTGGTGGTTTTAACAGACCCGAGGTACGGCAAGCTGATCAAGCAGAAGGTGTCCGTCAACCCGTCATATATACCATGAAGCCTATTAAACAGACCGTGAGGCCGGCCATCGACCTGTCATATAAACTTCATTGAATTCCATCCATCGAACCCAGCGCGGAGATTGGAATCAGACCATTCCTCCAAGATTCACCCTCGCAAGCCGCATCCAACTTTGGGGACGCCAAACGGAAGTGGATACCATGCACCTCCCACTCGGAGTCCTCGACCTGTAGCAGACCAATCAATCAACCACGTCCATCATTTCCAAACATAAGCACTAGGGTACAACACAGGAAGGACTCCGAGTGTGATGTTCATTTTGCCTTCCAACTGAGGACAGGCACATAGGATCCTTACATATTTGCAGTTTGCCAGTCTCTTGATCCTTAGGCATCAAGATTTTTTGGCGCCTGTAAGGGTGAAGAGGCACTAGACTAGTTCATTTTTCTGTCCTCCCTGTTGTTCAATGGACACCAGAGCAATAGTGCAGGATTTCTTGGAAGGAAGCTGAGACCTTTCCTCAGCATGTTATGTTTCGCTACTTCCGGGTAGACTGTGAGGACCCCCGCCTCAATCTTCACATTGGAAATATCAGCCTTGGCCCTTGGGCACTTAGGCATGCAATTAGGGGATCAGAGTGCCCTTCTTGGTCCCTCATTGCGGTCACTGCGTGGGACTGATTACTATCATGACCAAACCACTTCCAAATTGGAGGAGGAGGACGAGGAGGAGGACCGGAAGTCGAGCGAAAAAAGACGAAGAAAAGGAAGAAGAAGAAGGCGATGGTGCATACAGGATGCGTCTTCAACTGGTCGCAACAATGTGATGATCAAGGATGAGGTGAGTCTGTTAAATGCTCACAGAAGGGCCCCTTGCACAGGCTTGCATCCCCCTGATTGCCTGGGTTACATAGAAATGCCATAGATCATGCCATAACAACACGGTGGAGATTCTGAAGCCGTAGGGTGGCAAGCGGACGGGAAAAGAGAAAAGAGAAAAGTGAAGGAGAGTGAGGAGAAGATGGATGATGATTACGAGGAGTTGAATCGTACAGTAAGTTACCTAGGCTACCAGCCGGGCCGCCCGGGTCCCGGGTGGCCAGCCCGCGCAAGGACCAGGGAAGGTCCCAACCAAAAAAAAAAAAAAAAAAAAAAAAAAAAAAATCCGAAAAAAAACTATGGTATGCAGAAAAATAAACCGAACAACGTTTGCCTCAGGGTCACATCGAAATTCGTCACCAAATTTAAAATTAAAAATAGAATTTAAAACTATTGTTTTATTTTTATTTTTTTGTGCCCGGCCGGGCAAGTGACCCCGGGCCACTCTGATAGTCTGGACAGTAACTCAATTAATAAATTAAATGCAGACAGAGCTTTACATCTCACAGATCAACCACATCACAAATTTGGGGGAAACACTCCACCCTTACAGCTCTTCTACTACTCTGCTCAAGCTGTAGCGGGTGAACTTCTATCCATGAATAAATACCCTACCTCACCCGGCTTCCGTTTAGCTGCAGTAAATCGTGTTCGCAAAACAGAGTAAACTGCAAAATAAAACAACATAGAAAACACACAGACTAAAACAGAATAAAAAAAGATCTGGCAGTCTCAAGCTGAAGTGACCAAAATTGTCCAGTGTGTGAATATCATCACACTGCGTCCCGCAGAGATTTCCGTTGTATAACACCTGGTCCTTGCTGCTTGGGACCCCGCTGTCGTGGGATCCTCTGCCAACTCGAGGATTCTGAGGCTTGCCAGTTTGGTTTTTGCTTTTTCATATTCATGTGGCTGTGCAAGTGCACCTTTGTACCACTACCGTCTTCACCATAATAAAAAAGCTGGTTATTATAGCCGTATTTGGGGGAACTTTCAGTCTAGATTCAGTCATAATGACCTGATGTTCCACTGGGGTGAAGACCGTAACGCGTAACCTTGCTCGGAATGGAGACAGCCAATCAATCACGAGGGGAGAAGAAAAAAAGGGTAACTAACTTAAAGGTGCAGTCAGGATTTCAGTTTTAAATGCACTTCAGGCTTCCCTCAGATGCAACACCTCCCCACCCGACCCAAAAGCGGGGTTGTATACATTCACGATTTTCCTTGATTTGGCAAAACATTCGTGAAATAGTGACTGAAGTGCATCTACAAACTAAAACCGTGACAGTGCCCTTTTTTTTTTTTTTTTTTTTTTTTTTTTTTTTTTTTGAGAAAAACTCCCCTGGCGACAGCAGATAAGAGTAGTGATAAAGTTAGATAAACACATGCACTCCTTCCTGTCTTGCAGGGGGCTCCAGACTACGCGTGGGGAGCCACATCTGCTGGAAAACGGGTCCAGTGTCCCCTGAGATACAATGCTGAGATTGTGTTAAGGAACGAAATGTGCTGGGAACTGGGGCCATCATCCCCGTTGCATCCCTCAGGCTGATGCTACTGATAGAACTGATGACGATGGTGATGACGCTAATCTATGGTCGTCAGAAAAGAAGGCTACGAACTATACCGGCAATGGTCCGGCATCACCAGGTCCTGTCTTCTTCGACCCATAAGCAACTCTTGGCCTCCCCTGTAACAGACATAATGCTTTCAAAAGCAATTACTGCTTAGCCAAAACCGGCTATAGCTGTGCTTTTCTCCCTGCCAAGACTAAACTTGGCCCCTTAGGTTGTCTTATAAATCCCCAGCGGCCGCGGTCACCGCGGGCACGACCGCGGGCCGCAGTCATGACTGCGGCTACTCTGGACCGCTGCGACCACAGCGGCCGAGGGGAGAGGGGGTTGAGGGTCGGGGTTGCGGATTGGGGTTCAGGGACCCTGACCCTACCCCCTTGAAAACAGAAAAGTGAAAAAAAAAAAAAATCCGCGGGGTAGTTTTTGGTGTGTGAAAAAAAAATGAAAAAAAAATAGGAAAAAATATAAATATTGATTGCTTGATTGGTTTTTGATTGATTGATTGATTTATTGATTGGTGGGGGAGGTCCTCCCA